TGGAAGCCAAAAGAACTGATGAGTTTACCAAGGGTTGAGAGCAGGAGGGGACTAAGAATAGAACCTTACAGAACACTGACAGAGAGGAAGTGCGGATAAGAGGAAGAGCCACAAAAAGAAACACTGAAACAGCGTTGGGAGAGGTAAGAGGAGAACCAGGAAAGACCAAGATTACGGAAGATGTTGTTGATAATCAACAGTGTCGAGAGTAGTGAACGCTGGATTTAGCAGCAATTAAATCATTGGATACATTGGTCGGGGCAGTTTTGACAGAGTGAAGAGCGAGGAATCCAGACTGAAGTAAGTCTAGCAGAGAATTAGATTCGAGGAAGTCAATCAATCTAGCGTAGACGGTCCTCTCGAGGATCTTGAAGGAAATCAGTAGTAATGAGTTAAATGAGGAGTTAGGGTCAAGGTTGGGCTTTTTTAGAATCGGGGTGATGCTTGCGTGCTTGAAGAGTGAAGGAAATATGCCAGAGGAGAGCGAGAGATTGAATATTTTAGTGAGGGGTAAGAGACATTAGAGACCTCTTTCCTGATCATGGAACTCTTCTCAGTGAAGTGAGTTGCAAAGTCTGTAGCAGTAAAGTTAGGAAGAGTAGCAGCAACAGGGCAAAGTAGAGAGTTAAGTGTGAAAGAGGCGTACAAGCATAGCATAAAATTATAATAGAGAATGTCATATGCAGAATCTGTGCAAAGGTTGTAACCGGGGTCGTTTATAATGTTTAAATATAGGAGGTGCCACGATATCTAGTTCAGGGGAGAATGCAAATAATTTTATCTATTGAAGTTACCGAGAAGAAAAAAAAAATCATCATTTTAACTAAATAATATTTTTGAATATGTGACATTGGAATTTCCCCTTACATTATCTGTAATGGTCTCACATTGTTTCCATGTATTCTCCATATTTATAGTCCCCTAAATGCTCATATTATACCCATGTATATTTTATTTGTTACTACATTACCATGACATTGCCTATATTAACCTCACATCGTAACCATGTTGCCACTTTAGAAACAAAGACACACAAATAGACGTGCACACGCTCACATGCATACTGACAGAGCTAGTTACAGAGAGAGAGAGAGAGTGTGTGTGTTTTTCCATTTGTAATTGTCCAAATAATTTTGGTAGTGAAGAGGTTAAAGAGGCAACAAAATATGTAAAGAACAGGCACGTGGTGATCTAGTGTTCACAAGTCACATGTACATTTATTGTCAAGCAGATTTAGATACAGAGTGGACCACCAGACATACATATAATGAACTTTACTGTCTAAATGGAATAATGGTCCTGGTTATACTCTATGTAAACAAACTCCAGATTTGGCAATCCAAGCGTAATAACAAATTGCAATTTGTCTAAATCTTAAAATGACTGTTTTGGAAAATTACATGAATAAGGTACTGACATTTTTATAGAAAGGATCCCTTGTGTGCTTCACCTGCCAATGGAAAAGTACTGAATTGAGGGACGAGTTACTCCGGAGACCAAGCTTTCAGTGCACAAGACTTTTAGAGGGCTGTGTTTTTACCAATTAAGTTGCAGTCCGCGTGGTTGTTACTAATGAGCTTTGGTTAATTCTCCATATCAGCTTTTTCCCTTTGAATTTTACAGCACACCTGTTGATTTGGAGATTTGAAAAGAAACTAAACTATATATAATTTACAAGTTTAGGCAACGCATGGTAGGCACCTATAATTTATAAAACTGGCACTGGAAGTATAAACCAACTTTCTCGTTTCTTTTAAGCACACTCCGCTTGTCTGAAGTCTATCAATTTTTCAACAGTTTATTAAAGGACAACTATAGGCACCCAGACCACTTAAGCTTAATGAAGTGGTCTGGGTGCCAGGTCCATCTAGGGTTAACCCTGTCTGCTGTAAACATAGCAGTTTCAGAGAAACTGCTATGTTTACATATGGGTTAATTCAGCCTCTAGTGGTTGTCTCATTGACAGCCGCTAGAGGCACTTCCGCGCTTCTCACTGTGATTTTCACAGTGAGAAGATGCCAGCGTCAATAGGAAAGCATTGAGAAATGCTTTCCTATGGACTGACTGAATGTGCGCGCAGCTCATGCCGCGCATGCACATTCAGCCGATGACGTCGGAAGGAGGAGGAGAGTCCCCAGCGCCGAGGGAGCCCGGCACTGGAGAAAGGCAAGATTTGAATCCCTTCCTCCCACTTCAGCCCGGTGGGAGAGGGCCATGAGGGTGGGGGGGACCTATTAATACTATAGTGCCAGGAAAACAAGTTTGTTTTCCTGGCACTATAGTGGTCCTTTAAGTGACAGTTTTTTTTTTTTGCTGTGCATAAGAGTAATACATACAAACTTGAGGTACCCCAACGGCAATCCTCAGACTAAGCTTCTTGTAATACTATTGGAGTAGTAGATTAGGCAAGCAAACTTTTATATAATGAACAAGAGATAACAGGATTGAGAGGTTTCTAGTCAGGTCTGTCTAGCTACCATTCATATTACAGGCTAGTAGCAAACATATAGTGGGGACTGGCATGGCTAGGAGACAAGCTAGGGTAGATAATATAAGGTTAACAAGCTAAACTGCCGCCATGCAAAATGCTGCTCGCTATAAGGACACAGCTGTTTTACATGAGAGTCTGTGTAGGTTTCTAAAGTAAAGGATCTCCACTGGGGCTATGCTATCGGTAGTACTCTGCATTACTTAAAGCTAGTCATGGAGAGACATTTGGAAATGAGTGGGTTCTGACCTCGTGGTAAATTTTTTTTTACAAAAAATAAAATATATATATATATATATATATATATATATATATATATATAATAAAGGGTAGATTGCAGTATGCATGCAATTCTAGGTCACTTCTTTAGCATCTTGGGTACATATGTGTGTTACTGTGGATAAACATGCTAGAGTCTCAGCCCTGCAGTCAGCCAACTCCCGTCATGTGTACGTTACTGTCCCGATACAGGTACGTGTAGGCCTGAAGCATTTGCGGTCCCGTGGTCCTGCATATCCGGCGGTGCACGAGAGAGGACTCCGGATCAGGTTGTTAGTGCTGGGGTTGAGGGAGCCAAGTGCTCCACATTCGGGGTGATCAGTGTCTCGTGCGTGGGCTAATTAGATGGAGTGCAGCTAACCTCCGCTTCAGCTTCTTGTACCTCTGAGACTCCCTGTATGTTCCTTTCCCCTCCGCTGCCTGAGTGGACATTTCAGGCCTTGCTTCATCATGCTTCGGTGCAGACCTATTAACAGCCCGTCTGGAGCTGAACCATCGTGGTTTGCACCGCCAAAGGCTCGCTCTCTGAGGGTTAGAGGCCACAGGTTGGACCCGAAGTCATCGTGGAGACTGCACAGGTGAGTGAAGTGGCAAGGTCTGCAGGACTGGTGTGAGGTGTCTGAGGTGCAGCTTCAGCCAGAATTCCTCAAAGAGGCTATCCAGATGTGTCAAAGTTACAGACCACATTCCCTGTTTAGATGTAGAGCATGAGGGATCCGTCATGTTGAATGTGCTGGTTGTAGTGGCACCGCTGGACATGGCAGGTAGGCTGCTGCTGGCGCTAGATTTCTGGCACTTGGTCACCATAGGGGGAGGAGAAGGTGTCGGGATATTCCCCACCGGCAGGGGGAGGGGCATTTGCAAGGAGAGACTGCGTGAGTAGTCGGCAGCATCATGCTGAGAGAGTGGCCGTCTTCCTATCGCAATGAAGGCCTTTTGTAGGCCGCAAGTCTGCTCCTCAGTGAAGCCGTCGATCTCGGTCCTGATCTCAGGTAGTGGTACCACTGGGTTCCTTCTGTCTCTTGGTTAGTTCAGTAATGTGGAGTGCAGGCTGGAATCGAGTAATTAATGCTTTTTCAGAGCCTCTTCTGATGTGCGACCAATTGGCCCGGCGGTCAGGCTCTGTCCCCCAAAAGTGCTTGTTTTAATAGAGATCAGCCCTTTTTTGACTGGACACTGAAATGCCTCCTTTTTTGTCACTCTAGGGAGGCTTTCTTCCACTTTACTACAAAGGCTAGGCTCGAGCGTGTCTGCTTTCCACATTCTCGAATGACCTCAATGAGAAGCAGTAGAAAGCTGCGATTGCACAGCTTTGTGGCTGCAGAACAATGAGAGCCTCAATAATGAAACCCTCTGATTGGTCAGTTCCACAGACCGAGAGTGTAGGGCTTGCAAAGGCTTTGCAAGCTGTTGTTTTATATATCCCCAAAGAAAACAATGAGAATAATGCATATGTTTATGTCCACTAGCACGTTGATAGGTTGGCTTTCATCATTGTCTACATCATTGTTTAGTAGACATGGAATGGTTGACTGGGGCATTGCATGAGGCAGGCTTAAAGGGACACTATAGTCACCAGAACAACTACAGCTTATTGCATTTGTTCTGGTGAGTAGACTCAGTCCCTTCAGGCCTTTTGCTGTAAACATTGTCTTTTCAGAGAAAATGCAGTGTTTACATTAAAGCCTAGTGATAACTCCACTGGCCACTTCTCAGATGGCTGCTAGAGATGCTTCCTGGGGCAGTGCTGCACAATGTGACTGACATTCAGTGTCTCCAGCCTCTGCAGACACTGAACTTTCCTCATAGAGATGCATTAATTAAATTAATATCTATTAGGAGATGCTGATTGACCAGGGCTGTGTTTGTCTTGTGCTGGCTCGGCCCCTGATCTGCCTCCTTGACAGTCTCAGTCATACCTATGGGGAAGCATTGTGATTGGCTCAGACCACTACTTCTGATGATGTCAAAGGATATATGCAGTTCAGAGGTAGACAGGTGCAGAGCCAGCAGGTGCAGACAGGAATACAAGTAATATTTTACTAGTGGGTGGGGGGTTAACACTATAGGATCAGGAATACATGTTTGTGTTTTGACCCTATAGTGTTCCTTTAAGACTTGTCTTATACTAATTTGGGGTCATATTAACCCTCACAGGCTTTTTTATTTCCTTTTTTTTTTGGAGTTAGTCTTTTAAAAAGGTAGCTCTATGTTCACATTTATTGTCCATTTTATTGCGAGCAGCTGTCCCTTTTTGCTGAAGATTCTGGCTGGCATTAAATCTAGTCAGAATAATAAAACAAAAAGGACCAAGAATAGTCGACATTTATTGTTGTTAAGAGACTCCTGCTTGCTTGAACGTTTTAGTGATGAGTTCAAAGTAACCATGTTTTGAAAAATGCCTGGCTTAATGAATTATGATTCTTATGTAGGAAACTTTAATAGACACATTAAAACATCAGCACTACAATGAACACGTACAAAAAGAGGAAGAAAGTAGAAATGAAAACTTAAAATCTCCAATTTGCATGTTAGCAGACATCATAAGAGGAGAGTTAGCAGTCTGCAAATCCTGCACTCCTGGATACAGGCAATACCGAGCCAAAGGAGGGTTGAATCAGTCTTCAAGAAGGGACTGGTGTCCACCAGTGTGTTACATGGAAGTTGGATGTCATCTAAGTAAGGGATAGAATATTGGCTCATCCTGGGTTAGCCAGTAGCTGTTAGAATGGTCCGAGCAAAGTGATAGCCAACGTGCTTATGACATTGCTGTTGATCTATCACCAACATAGAAAAATACATTTTGTATGTATGTTTTTATAGTGGTAATTGAGGGATCATAGGTGGTGTACTGTAGCCCTGAAGGGAATTTGGAGACTCCGTCAGACCTGTAGCTGTATTTGAGGTTTTCAGCTTTACAGACCAGTTTACATCAATGGTCCATAACAAAGTAGCATCTTCTGTTATCTCCCCATTTAGAGTAAATAATGAGGACCACTTTTATTGTGCTTGTGGTTCTTGAGGTATAGCAGGATCCAACTAGGCATACTGCTTGAACTTTGGCTTTCAGCATTGTGGGAGTTTAGGCATTGTGAAGATCAGGCCCAGAGAATTGAGACACCATCTAAAGTGGAGAATAATATGTTGGCAACTGTTGCTTCATAAATACACATTATTTTGCATTCATGGCGTCCGTTTAACAGAGTAGAGCTTCTGTGTCAAGGTGAAGAAAGCACGCTGCTCTGATACCCCGTTTGGAGCCATCATATAGAGATCCTCACTTTGGCAGACAGTTTGAGGGGTGAACAAGGGCTTATTGTGTATAAAGGACACTTCACAGAAAATAGAATTTGTGATGAACAGTAGTAGTAATACCAGTAGATAGGTGAGAAATGGCCTTCCGATCCCTGGCAAGTCTCTAAAGCCAGTGATTTGATTCAGGCCCATGATTTGATTCAGTTTACTGTTTAAAGCAGGGACTTTGTAGAAATGTCCAAAGGGCTCAAAAGAAAGGGCCGCTGATGGAGAGATGAAAAATGTCTATTGCATGCCAAGTAACTGGTCTGAGGGCCACCGTCACATTAAGCAGTAAGCATGGACCATACAGGCATTTTTTTATAGAAAGCTATGAAGTATGCAAATAATAATAATAATAATAATATGTTGTTGCACAAAATCACAGGCAAGAAATACTCCTCACTTTGTGATGTCAAACAGCAGCTATGTTCTTGTACACTGGATGCATGTACTATGTGGACAAACCTTACAAGTTTTGTGGTACCTGTACAGATTCTCTCATCATTTGTTTTTTTTATTTTTGTTTTTTTTTATGAGAGGGTCTGTACTGCAGTTCTACACATGTGCAGCTGTGGAAAGATTAGTTAATTGGAATATGCCAATTGAGTTTTGTGTTCTAGTATCTTACCAAGTAGTTGTATTCATATAATTTCATAAATTACATAGGTTTAACTACTTACATCAGGGAAGGGGGAAGTATAAGACCCCAGTAGTGGTTATGGTGTTTGAAGTGTTTCCTTAAATACAGTTTTGAAGCATGATGATAATGAAAAGGTCTGCAAAAGAAAGTTTAAATAATGAAGAGTATTTATACTGACTTGGTGATAGCTTTAAACTAGTCCAACTGGAAAACGTTTTTTGGGGGGGTTTTTTGCCCAGGCTTGTTGTGATATAGCACAATTATTTCCATTATTTTTTTTATTTTTAAAGCAACAATGATCCCCAACACTGCACAAAAGGCAAACAAAACACAAGATGTTTTTGGTGGCAAAACAAGTTTAGACAGGAACAAAAAATGGCATGGACCCAACTGGAAGAATCCTACAGTCTGAAAACCCCAAAACTCACAGCACAGCTAAGCATACTCTGAGCAACACCGACTGATCCCCCTCTTAATCCCCCTCGTGTGCTCTAAACAGGCCGCTTAGACCTTCTGTGTCTCCAAGATCTCCCTCTGGGGTTAAAGAACAAAGTGACAGCGTTTTGTAAGATCCAGTCTGCTCCAGATCAGGATGTTTGTATAAACTTCAGCCTTCAGATCAAATCTTCAGTAAATATCATTTATTTGACTAATGTTGCTGCCGCAGTCTGTAATTCCAGCCCTGAACTTTAAAGAAAGGCTTCTGTGGAAGAATAACAGATAAACATCAGCTTTGTCTGGAGTGTAATTGCATGCCGACATTATTTTCCTAATTGAAACACGGATCACGTTACCCCATAACAAAGAAGGAGATGCAGAATCCAAAATTGCTCCACAAAAATTACTTTTCCCAAGAATGCACTAAAGGAGCCATGAATTAATAAATATGAAAGTAAGAAAACACAAAAAAAAGACATTAAGAGCTTATTACTATATGCATGCTTTCAGCCTGAGTTGTACTTTATTAATCATGTATGGAGCTGTTAGTAAATTTCATATCTACAGAAATAAATTCACAAAGTAGAACTATTTTAACCCGTGTTAATTGCAAATGATATTTCTTGCAAGCGATGTGTTCTGTGCACACAAGTCCTTCTTCACTATTTTCCCTCTAGCTTTGATTTTATTATTATTGGCATTTAAATGCAAGAATAAATTAAACTATTACAATTTTAAAGGAATAATAAGGCGATGAGGACCACACTTGAAAGAGCTTTAATTCTAGAAGAGGTGGGGTATAAAAACATAATAGGAAGGGCGGCGTGTAGGATTGTAATCAAGTGACAAACTGGGAAAGCAGTGCTGAGAGTAAAATGGAAAGTGTACCCACTAATTAAAGGAACACAATAGGGGCAGGTACAAAAGTATCCCTGTGTCAGGATACGAGTTGATCCAGCAAGCAGAATTGTGTCACACCTAGGACTAAAGGTAATGTCTTACTGGGCCTTAAAATGGCCGGACTTAACGTACCAGAGAATAGTCAGGATACTTGCCGAGGTCAGGGACACAGAGGGAGACACAACGATGAGGGAAAAGCCGAAAGTCAAGGATACCAGAATACAGGGAAGTCAAAATGAAGCCAAAGTCAAAAACCAGAAATAAATGCTCAGGAACACGCTCTCGGATAACATACTAAGGGAAACCATGACAGGGCAATAAGAAAAAGGAAAAATTAGTTTAAATAAGCCTCCTTCAGATCTGATTGGCCGTACCCAGCCTCTGACCCCAGAACGTGCGTGCGCGTCCTTTGCATGACGTCACACGCACGTTGACATCGTCAATAACATGGGTGGACGTGGGGTTACAAATTGGAATGGATCCGCAGCAGCCAGCGGCCTTCAACATGCCGCAGGAGTCAGATACATCGGTACAGGGCTGCTGAGTAACACCTCAGTTAATGCCAGAAAGGCATTTGTCGTCACAGACACCACGAGGTGAGGATGAACATGTGACACCCTGAACCTATAGTGTTAAAAACACTATCTAGCCCCTTGTCCCCTAAATATAGTACAATCTTACCTTTATTCCAGTATGCTGGTGCTGGTTCTGTCCTGATCTGCCCTCTTGGCTGACATCATCAGAAGTGATGATCACAGCCAATCACAATGCTTTCCCACAAGAAAGCATTGGATTGGTTGAGATTGTCTCTATGAGGAAAGTTCAGTGTCTCCATGCAGAGGGCGAGACACTGAATGTCAGTGCTGCATAGCGTACAGCACTGACTTCCCCAGAAAGCACCACTAGTAGCCATCTGAGGAGTGGCTGCTGGAGGTATCCCTAGGCTGTAATGTAACACTGCCTTTTCTCTGAAAAGACAGTGTTTACTGCAAAAAGCCTGCAGGGACTGACTATACTCACCAGAACAATTACATTAAACTGTAAGTTGTTCTGATGACTCTAGTGTACCTTTAAGGTTTGCGACTAAGAGATAGATTTGAGGAATGACAGTTACTCTGGTATGCCATAGGCTATTGTGAAGAGATTCATTTTAAGATTTAAGTTAATGGTTAAGGCAAATATTATGGCAAAATTAGTTCAGTACTTTTCAAGTTTTCCCCTCTTATCTTAAACTACTCCATATTACTTTTTCTGATATTAAGTAGGATGTTTTTATTATTCTGCCATTTTGCCACCTTTACTCATTATCCCTTTTTTAACCCCTTAAGGACCAAACTTCTGGAATAAAAGGAAATCATGACATGTCACACACGTCATGTGTCCTTAAGGGGTTAAAGCTTTCATATAACTAGGTTTGAAAGTTAAGATGTCTAGTGTTAACATTTCTAGATCTTCTCAGATTTAATTGTCACTCGTTTCTGAAAAAGGGGAAAGAAATACAATTCACACAAAACAGCAAGTAACCTTCCTGTTTAAGATCTGATTTTCCAAAATTTCAAGGGCTTACTATTTTATTCATTCATAAGTACAGTTCAGGAAGGTAATCATACTTGCTAGCGAAGTAAGACAAACATCCGTCTTGCCTTCTGGTATGTCTTATTAGAAGTGGGTTTTCTTGTGACTGCCTGTAAAGCTTTGGGAGCAGGACCCTTGCCAGCTTGGTTTCAATGTAATGTTTTAAGTGCTCTTGAAGACATTACCAATGTATTGCTACCTTCCTCAAATCATTGATATGAATGAGAATAGTATATTACTCTAAACTAGAAGTAGGTAGCTACACCTACGTAAGCTGTGTATTCCAAAATAGTCATCTTGTACAGGAGTGAGTGTAAATACATCTTATTTTTTTAAAGATACACTCCAAATACCACTATCCATGACAGTTTGCTACAATTGGGCTTGCGCCAGGGTCTGCTAAATAGCCACTGCAGTGGTCATTTAGCAGACCTGATCATTGATATCAATGAAAGTAATATAGCTTTTCAATTAAGCTGTGATTAGTGTTGCCATTTCCACTGATATCAGTAAACGTTTAAATCATAAACCAAGTTATATATTTTTGTTCTGCACTCAGATTGGTCATTTGTATTCACTATTGGACGTACCTCCACGTTGACACATTCGGTGCACCTAAATGATTTGTTTTAATGGGAGTGAGCAGTCTAGATTATGCCAGTGAAGGCTCATCCATAGGGGCACTTGGGGCAGAGCCCCACCAAGTTTTTATGTGGGCTAAAATATATGGGGGGAAATGTGAGTGTCTCTTTAATTCTGTAATAGATTTCTGTTCTGCAGGTAGCTGTTTAGAGAAACCCATAAAGGGCACTATATGGACAACTCAATAGAAAGCCATCCTTGCCCATAGAGGGCCATCCTTGACCATGTATAGTCAGCCCGGCGTGCATTCAACCCTGTCTAACCTTTATGGGCAGGTCTGACCCCTTTCCCCTTTCCCCACTTCCAATCACATCCCGATTCACAGGACATCGAAGCTAGTAGGTATGCAGTAGTGTGGCCTGAGAGAGCTGCGGAAACAGAGGTAAACTGACTGTTGTCTACCTCTCGTGTGTCTTAAAGGGAAACGTTTTCCTGGCACTGCAGGTCCCCTCTCCCTCCCACCCCCCAATCCCTGTTTGCTGAAGGGGTGAAAACCTGAGCCAGCGACATGTCCCACGTTGCTGCTTCCTCCTCCGTCGCCGCTCCTCCTCTGCATTGCGTCGGCCGGTGGGCAAGACTGATCCCGCCCACCGGCCCGGGTGACCTAATGCGCATGCGCGGCAATGTTGCGCATGCACATTAGCGCTCCTCATAGGAAAGCATTAAAAATGCATTTCAATGCTTTCCTATGGGGAAATGAGCAACGCTGGAGGTCCTCACACAGTGTAATCTGTGCTATGATCAAGGTAGTGCCCTCTAGTGGCTATCTAGTAGACAGCCACTAGAGGTGGAGTTAACCCTGCAAGGTAATTATTGCAGTTTATAAAAAAAAACTGCAATAATTACACTTTCAGGGTTAAGAGTAGTGGGCAGAAGTGGTCTGGGTGCCTAGAGTGTCCCTTTAACAATTTCATATTGTTCAGAGACTTTATTCTCATCTAACCAAGTGAAGCAGACATGTTGACAATGACAGGATGTAACCAAATTGTGTAGTGTAATTCCCTTGTGTCCTCCAGTTAGCCCGATGCAGTGGCAACTTGAGCTGCTCCATTGCAAGTTGTTTTGTTTACGCTCCTCTGCCTGTTGCACTGCCTGTTAATCTGGCTCTGGTCTCTAGTGGTACAGAAACACGAAAGCTATGCACCATTAACATAGGCTGCTTCCCTTGGCAAATTGCTCAGTGACTTGGCATCCTAGAATAAAATCAACTGTATTTTCCACTTTACTCACAACTAATAAAAGCATATCGTTTTGTAGAATCATAGACTTGCCATTTCAAGTTGTTTTTTTGGCAAGGTTTTACTTAGTTAGAGGATAAGAGGTTCCTTCCTTTTATGAATAGGAACACATACATCGTGTAGTACCTATGTTTTTTTGTAGAATTGGCATTGGGACTGTGCTGACAATGTGTACAGAACTATTTAGCCATTTGTAGTAGTGAAATATTTTATATTGTTCAAGGTGTGATTGTGTTGGGTTCTTTATCTGATTACTAAACAGAAATATGGAGAGCAGGCTTTACAAAGTATAGTGTAGTATTAATCCATTTTATTAAAAATTTTTACTACGATTCAGCTGGAAAAGCATACATAATTAAGGCTTTTGTAGTTGTTGATTTTTCTATGCCTCAGAGCCCCCAATATCTTTAATAACATTGATTAATACTACGCTATAGCTTGCAAGGCCAGCACTATCCAAACGACGGCCCTGCTGTTTGCCACGACGGCCTGGTGGGGAGATCAAATATTTCCCTCACCGGCCCACTTGGACAGACATGCGGCTGGAGAGGAAGAGGAGGACCCGGCAATGCTCTATCTTTCAGCTCCGCCGGGTTCTTCTAGCGAGATCTTGCGAGAGTGAACTCTAGTCCCGCAGGTTAGAGTTCACTCACCACTAGGACCACCAGGGATGGTATCAGAGTGCCGGTCTCCCACCCTCCCCCCCTCTCCCAGGTACCACCGTGCCGGACCCCCTCCCAGGCTAAATGTAAGGGGAGGGGGGTATTATGCCTGCTTAGTTTTTTTGTTTTTCTTTATTTACCCCCCCCAACACACAATCCCTTCTAACATTTATACACAGCACTCTCACACACATCATCCACAGCACTCTCACACACAGCACTCTCACACACATCATCCACTGCACTCTCACACTCAGCACTCTCACACACAGCACTCTCACACACATCATCCACAGCACTCACACACATCATCCACAGCACTCACACACAGCGCTCTCACACTCAGCACTCTCACACACACATCATCCACAGCACTCTCACACTCAGCACTCTCACACACATCATCCACAGCACTCACACACAGCGCTCTCACACTCAGCACTCTCACACACAGCACTCTCACACACATCATCCACAGCACTCTCACACTCAGCACTCTCACACTCAGCACTCTCACACACATCATCTACAGCACTCACACATAGCACTCTCACACACATCACACACAGCACTCTCACACACTCTCACACACATCATCCACAGCACTCTCACACTGGGCACTCTCACACACATCATCCACAGCACTTACACACAGCACTCTCACACATCTCACACACAGCACTCTCACACACATCACACACAGCACTCTCACACACATCACACACAGCACTCTCACACTCGGCACTCTCACACACATCACGCAGAGCACTCTCTCACACATCATACACAGTACTATCACACTCAGCACACTCACACAGCACTCAGCACTCTCACACACATCACACACAGCACTCTCACACACATCACGCAGAGCACTCTCTCACACATCATACACAGTACTATCGCACTCAGCACACTCACACAGCACTCAGCAGTCTCACACACATCACACACAGCAATCTCACACACATCATACACAGCACTCTCACACACATCACACTCAGCACTCTCACACACATCACTCCCACACACATCATACACAGCACCCACACACACAAAGCACCCTCACACACATCACACAGCACCCTCACACAAATCAATCACATATAGCACCCTCACACACATCACACAGCACCCTCACACAAATCAATCACATACAGCACCCTCACACACAGCACCCACCGCACCCTCACACACATCACAGCTCACACACAACATCCATCACACACACATACTGCACCCCTCACATACACACAGAACCCCCCCGACACACTGCACCACACACATACACAATACTTCCAAACATATTTATATAAAATATATACACGCACACACACACACACTACACTACACTACACTCCTAACATACACACTCTGGATCCCCTATACACACACTAGATTCCTTGTAAGCAAACACATACAACACCCTTAAGATACACACTCTCTACAAACACTACATCATCTATACACACGCACACACACACACACTCTATAGCCTGTATGCACACTCTTGCTACATCCCCTAGCCACATATGCATTACATTACACCACTAAAACCGACCTTATTACACAATACCACACCACAATCAACTCACTCTACACACACGAAATTCCACAAGTAGGCTCCAAACACATGCACAATACTCTTTCCTGGCATTTTTGTCTCCTAGTATCCATTTATAGAGACACCAGAGACAAGTTGCAAGGAAACACAGTGCAAGCATGTTATTAAATTTGCTTGTGCTGTGCAGAACAAATACAGGGCTTTTTTCTCATGCTAGAGCTCTTTGGCAGAGCTCTGCGCATGGTCTGCCCTGGCAGAGCATTGAACCAACATGCTCACTTTGAGAGGTGGTGTGTTTGTCATTAGTGATGACAAAACACACCCTCTCTGCCCAGCCCCTTCTTAGTAGGCCGCTGTGATAAAAAAATGCCTGGGCCAAATGTTTTTCCCAGTCCGGCCCTGGATATATCTGTTTTAATTCCTAAGATCTAAACCCAGAAAAGTGACCCGTAGCATTAACTTTCTTTTCAAGCCCAGTTAGCAATATATATCAACAGGAAAATAATTTGATTGGTGCAGATCATATCTGTTTTATCTGTTTAGAAAACGCTTAGATTAGAAAAATGCTAATTTTCCTAGTGTGTTTGCTTTCTATTAGACTTGTATAGAGCTAAAATTTTCAGTTCTTCCCTTGTTTTTGGGTGGGGTTATCATTAACAGAATTAAGTCAATGCCACTCTTTGGCTCTGCAGAATTTCGCTACTTGAAACAAAACTTGGGAAAGTCACTCAGGCAGGCAGAAAAGCAGGGGAAAGGGGGTATGTTTTGCAAAGCAAATTCTGAGTTGCCAAAATTAGATATTGTAGATCTGGATAAAAAAAAAAAAAAAATAGGTATTGAGAGAACTTAGGTTATAATGACTAATTGTAATCCTTTTTATTTTGGTATTTTGTATTAAAGGAACACTATAGTCACCAGAACAACTATAGCTTAATGTAGTTGTTCTGGCGAGTATAATCATTGCCTTCAGGCATTTTAATGCAAACACTGCCTTTTCAGAAAAAGGGCCGTATTAACATTGCCCTTAGGGACACCTCCAAGTGGCCACTCCTCAGATGGCCACTGGAGGTGCTTCCTGGGGCAGTGCTGCACAGTAGGCAGCACTGTCGTTCAGCGTCTCCACACACTGCATAAGGACACTGAATTTTCCTCAGAAATGCATTGATTCAGTGCATCTCTATGAGGAGGTGCTGACTGGCCAAAACTGTGTTTGGCCCTGCCCCCTTTCCCTATGGGAAAGCATTGGATTGGCTAGAAATCAACAATTCTGATGATGTCACCAAGGGGGCGCGGCCAGTGCCGGCGGACCCGTCTGGCCCTGGAAATAAGTGGAGCTTTAATTACTTTTAAGGGTGCTAAGAGTGGGGAAAGCCACCTAAAAGGTGAGTTTAGAACTATAGGGTCAGGAATACGTGTTTGTGTTCCTGACCCTATAGTGTTCCTTTATTAAAAAATGGGTATGAGTAATTTTAAGTTCAAAATAGGGGATTTTATGCAAAATTAAAATAAAAAAGTCAGTGGGCAATTGACCACCCACTCAACCCTTCCACTATGACAGGAACAAAGCTTTCCCACACATCCAGTCTGTAACCTTAGTGACCATCATTAGTGACTACTGTTGCCCTACAGACAGCATTGGTAGAAGCTTATGATAGGGCACATTTCCCCCCCATACTGAAAGATGGTCAAAAACACTAACAAAGGGTGAGTTGGTCGTCCGTTGCCCATGCCACTAACTTTCATAGAAAAGAAAGTTACCGTCTTTCAATCAGAAAGAAAAGATTGTTCAAACTGCATCTAAGGAGTTAGGTAGCTTAATGTAGTGGTTCTGGTGTATATAGCCTATCCCTGCGGGGGAGGTAAGGAGACACCTAAACAGTGAGTAGGACGCTATAGCTTTTGGAATAGATGTTTGTATTCCTAATGCTATAGATTTCGTTTAAGGAGTACTGCACAGTACCTACACACTTGCACAGCACACACTGGACTGAACACAGAATGGAAATTAAAATAGGATTTTATTTCTCCAAACTAATAATATATACATATGTTTAACAACTGCATATTGATAAGTCTCGCACTAGGATCAATGACAAAATGCCTGCCAATCTCCCACTTAAAGGAACACTAAAGCATACATGTAGTCCTAATGCTTTAAGGTCCCTGTCCCTAGTTATATAGGTATGTGTTTGTTCATGTGCGCGATTAATAATAATATTAAAATAAAGGGTTTTACTCACCTTTTTCCTGCAGCGATGGTACCTCTGCTCCTCTCATGGCATGGCCTCCTCCTGCGTTTTCCAATCCAATGCTCCTCATTAGTCAGTATTGGGGATCTGATGTGCACATGTGGCAAATGCCGCACATGCACCCTGGCTTTTCAATAGGAAAGTGTAGCAGAATGGACCCAGCCACCCTAATTTATACCAGCTCTGGGCTGTCTGTATCCCCTTTGTTTTGCCCTCTCCTTGACCCCATGCATGAGAAAGTAACCCTAATTGTACGAGACTTACTCCCCTGTCTTTGTAACCTAAGTTTCCCCCTGTTTCTCCTGGCCATTCGTCAAAATCCATGCCCTTAAGTGGTTCCCACAGTTTTGTACAATAATTGAACAAATTGCCGAACGGCAGACCACCCAGCTATGGAATGTGCCACTCATTAACTCCGTTCACACCTTCACAAACCGCAACCACACAAACGTTCTAAGCGGTCGGCTGGGTGGTTGCCGTTCGTATAGACGAACACGTGGTGGCGGCCATCTTGGGACACGAACAAAGGCAGCGTGTTTGGTCGTCGAGTGCATGGAACTAAAATCGGACACTCAACGGCACGAATACCGCTGGGACTTCCACCTCCATCGAAGTTCACCTAAAAGTCCACGAACAGAGCGCTAAAAGTGCACGAATAGAGCGCTATGCGGTAAAAACAATCTACCGAACTACATACAGCCAATAAAGTTGTGCACAACCGAATTTACCCATTATTTGACTTATAAGATAGACCGGCCGCACAGCCTAATTCTCTGGAACTCTTTTGGGCATGAAAGTAAGCGTGCGGTCGGTCAAATGTGACTTCCACATAATTCGTGAACCCCCTACTCTGATCTGGGTGATTTTTGGATATGTTGTTCACCCAGATCAGAGCTATCCAGGGATGTGCCATTTATGGGGATATGTAATGTTTTTTGTGTACTTCTGGAAAATATGTGGTTTTTCCTGCCTGGAGATAATTGCGTTATTACGTTATCTACCTCAGTTATCAACCAGGCAGAGAGGAGGGCTTGAACATACTGTGTCTCTATGTATAACCCTGTTTCATTGGTTTGTGAACTTTGTGACCCCACGAGGTCCACCTGGCTGGTAACCTTGTGGGGGAAATCACATAAAAGGCAGTGTGCCAGCATTAAAGGACCACTCTAGGCACCCAGACCACTTCAGCTTAATGAAGTGGTCTGGGTGCCAGGTCCTTCTAGGGTTAACCCATTTTTTTATAAACATAGCAGTTTCAGAGAAACTGCTATGTTTATGAATGGGTTAAGCCTTCCCCCTAATCCTCTAGTGGCTGTCTCATTGACAGCCACTAGAGGCGCTTGCGTGCTTCTCACTGTGATTTTTCACAGTGAGAGCACGCAAGCGTCCATAGGAAAGCATTGTAAATGCTTTCCTATGCGACGGGCTGAATGCGCGCGCAGCTCTTGCCGCGCGTGCGCATTCAGTCCAGGAGGAGGAGAGGAAGCAGAGAGCTCCCCGCCCAGCGCTGGAAAAAGGTAAGTTTTTAACCCTTTCCTCCTTTCCAGAGCCGGGCGGGAGGGGGACCCTGAGGGTGGGGGCACCCTCAGGGCACTATAGTGCCAGGAAAACGAGTATGTTTTCCTGGCACTATAGTGGTCCTTTAAACCTTGAGTTATTCCCTCTAAACTGAGTGTCGTCCAGTTACTGGGGAGGTGTTGGGAGAATCTTTTCTTGCTTTGCTGTATTTGCCTGTTCCTGTGGATCACCTTCCTTGTTCCTGAGTTATCTTGGAGAAAATCAGCGGAGAAAAGTCCCTGCTAAACTAGAAAAGCATTAAATCAATGATTTCCTGTTAGGTCTTCCAAGTCATGTGACCTTGTTTTTATGGTCAATGCTGCGTGAGTGCCTTCTTGACAGACATTAGAGGTGGATTTAGCACAGCAGCAACTCCTGGAACCCTGCCAAACATAAGTGTATAATATTCTTTTTTTTTCTCCCCCTCCCAAAAAAGCCCTAGTTACTGAGTGAGGGCTGATTAAGCAGGGGAATTTACTCAATGTATAATTAATTTATAACTATAAAGCCAAAAAATCTCAGGGGAGGATGCATTTCCGACACAGAGTACTGTACTTCCTGTCACTAATAGTTTTAAAAACTCCTACTACACATGCTCACCATCTTCTTTAAAGTGCTCAGTCGACAGCTGAACCCTGTGGCTAGTTTAAAAGTCAGAGATAACGACGATTACAGATCAGGAAGAGTCTATAGACATTTTAAAAAGATAACAAGAGTAGACTCTGATTACTGCACTACATCTGAATATGAAACTTCAGATACAGATAGCGAACAAGCCCCCGTGCCCCAAATTATGCATAATACTGGTAAAGGTATTCTTAAGAAAGGTGTGTCTTTTTTAGGACAACCCCCCAGAGGGGGGGGATATACAGGTCCAGCTCAGACAAACTCGCAACAGGGGGAGAACTCGCAGACGATATTAGAAAAGGACACTAGAATAATTAACATTTCAGACACTCCTCTCACCATGATACAAAGCCAAGTAATTATGAAGGGTTTGTCTTTTGTCCCAACTCCTCCATTCAGTAAATTTGAATGGATCAAAGACATCAATTTGTTTGGGAGAAGACTTGCCTTCCATAAGTTCTTTAAAGTGAGAGATGAGAAAATGGCAAAAGATTTAGGTTTTGATACAAAGGAATATCAGTGCCTTTTGGACCAGGTGTCACTTCTAGAATCTAATGACAATGTTTCCCCCCCACCCTATACAGATCTTCATTCGAAAAGTAAGTTCACTCCCAATTTTCATGACTTTAAAAATATTGATTGGTTTGTTGAATCGACTACCAACACGATTAAAAAACTTAATACGGTAAAACCCAGGGAAAATCTCACGAAAAAAGAATGGAAGGCATTAAATGAATTAAAGGAGAATGAACATATTATTATCAAACCAGCAGATAAGGGGGGCAACATTGTCATTATGAATAGACCCTACTATGTCCAAATGGCTGAAACTATACTTAATGATGAGAATACATACAGAGTACTCACGTTTAACCCCTCATCAAAGTTCATGCTTGAGTACAAAACCCTATTGGATGGGGCATTCGATCATGGGGTACTTACCAAGGAAGAGTATGGTAACATTTTCGTTAAAAATCCTGTAATTTCAACCTACTGTCTTCTGAAAATTCGCACGGGGTATGAAACATTAACAGCAAGACCAATAGTGTCAGGTTCTAATAACTTTATAAGTAAAGGGAGTATATATGTGGATAAGATTCTACGACCATATGTAGAAAAACTACCCTCTTATTTGAAAGACACTAGAGACTTCAGGTATTTCAGGGTATCTTTAAAGGTACCATCTGGGGCCATAGTATGTAGCCTCGATGTGGAGGCATTGTACTCCTCTATACCCCATTCGAGTGGTATAGGACATATAGGCTCATTCTTACAAACAAGGGGTACTACTTTTGTTCTTGATTTACTGCAGTTTATACTTACCCACAATTTCTTTCTTTTTAATAACAAGTTCTACCACCAGGTGTGGGGCACAGCCATGGGGATGCCTTGTGCCCCCTCCTATGCCAACCTGCACCTGGGTTGGTGGGAGAACCATCTGTATGTTCAGAACATCTGAAACAATATATGGACTACGTCTATTTATGGAAACGTTACATAGACAATATCCTAATAATATGGACAGGCACGAAACAACTTTTTACTGAATTTGTGGAAGCTCTTAATGAGAATGACTTAAATCTGCGTTTTACCATGGAGATAGGCATGCCCACACTGAATTTTCTTGACTGTACACTATCACCGATGAATTACAAATTCATACCACCCTATATCGTAAACCCACATCTACTAATAATATGTTAAGTTGGGGAAGTCATCACCCTGTTTCGCTTAAGAAGGGTATTCCAGTGGGACAGTATTTGAGACTAAAGAGAAACTGTTCCACCCTTGAGGACTTCAAACAAAAGGCTGCTTCATTAAAAGATAGATTTAAAGCGAGAGGATACCCTAATAGGTGCCTTAAACAGGCATATCAAAGAGCACTCCTATGCGAACGTGAGACCCTCTTGAAGGACGAACCTAAACCTTTCCCCCAAAAAACAATTAGGTATGTGGCAAACTACGATGCAGGGTGGGACACAGCAAAAAAGATTCTGGCAAGATTCTGGCCACTACTTACTCAAGATAGTCACTTGAAAGATGTAATCTCTCCACGAGTTTCTATAACTGCTAAAAGAGGGAAAAATTTAAAGGATCTTCTGGTACCTAGTAATTTTTCTAAACCTAATATGGACAAGAAGAGTTGGATTAATGTGCAGGTACCTATCAATGCAGACGATGTGTAGCCTATAGAGAGAGACTAGAAGTTTATAATCGACTCCTCTGGTATGCAGAAGATCCCAATTAAACAATTTTAACTGCAATTCAACAGGGGTTGTCTACCTTCTCACCTGCAAATGTGTCAAAAAATATGTAGGGAAAACTATACGTCCCTTAAAAAGACGCATGATGGAACATATCCATTCAGTAACCTCTGAAAGAGACACACCCCTGTTGCTAGACATGTTAGGTTACACCACAGCGATTCACCTAGATGCTTTAAATTCGCCGGTGTTGAAAAAGTACAAATGGGAAAAGGGGGTGGTGATCTGGATTTGCTCCTGAAAAGAAGAGAGTGTTTTTGGATTCATAAATTGGACACTTTGTCTCCAAATGGCCTCGACGAAGGCTTTACTTTTACCCCCTTTATTGAATCTTAGACTTTATTGTAATGAGTATATATTAGTTAATTTGTTACTACCTATAACGCTTTAAGATTTGTATCATAATCATGGACAACTGAGGACAGTATACCGTCATATGTATTATATATGTATTTACTGTGCTAGTCTATATCTGTCTATTTTACACCTGTCTGTAGTATTGTTCCTCTTAATCTAAGAAAGAATGTTTGACATCGGTTGAAACAAATCCTTCTATAAGCTACTTTCATATAAACAGTCATAGCCATTTGACATAGTGATTCTATATAATTCAGTTCTAAGACATTATGAAATACATTTTAGAATCTAAATAAGACAATCTATTTCTGTTGATTAGAATCTATGACTACTGTACTCCTGCTATGATGTATCTTTATATTACTATATTATTCAGTAACATATATTAGGTTAAGTTATATGTGTTTATCTTCTAGTTAGGAACTTGCTGATATCAATGAGAATATATACATTTTTGTTTTGCTGTCGATGATATTGCCTAGTGATTGCGATAAGGCATATACTGGCGAGATTGTATCTATGACAACAAAAGAATCATGTATATCCGTGATTGGCATTAAGCTCCGCCCACCTTTACTGTGATTGGCGCAACTACGGATGAATGACAAATGGTACCAACCACGCTGACTTGGGGTCGTGTAAATGGAACGCCGCCCATTGTCTCGTGGGTTGGCTCGGCACAATGGTGCCTCAGATACAAATACAAGCTCAGGTCAGTGTCCTCATTGATAGCCTTTGGGAAAGGTGCTCGTTTAAGCGCCGAAACGCGTTAGGCTTATGGCTTTTTCAGAACTCACAGCACTTTAATTTTACCACGTTTACGGTGTTTGTTTATGGGGAATAGAAGCCAGATTTAAGTTATGTTTGGATAGGGATTTGGTCTCCTACTTATTCAGTATCCATTAGCCTTCCTATACACAGGACTAGCAATTGATAGCTTTTAGCACTTATGGGCATTAGTATAGTGTGATCTATCACTTGTCATTAGCTGTTCATCTTTCAACGCTAGGTGATTTGCTATGTCTGAGTCAGTGGGACTAGAGTGTTCAGATGTATGTCTGTTGAATGCATATTTAAATTACCAGCTGTAGTACTTTACACTGACTGGCTTCACACTGGGGGCATTTGGAGATTTGGAGTTTAAAAGTAGTGAAGCTTCCAACTGCAGGACTAATGATTGGACTCTGAGGACTGATCTGATTATGATTTTAATCTGCAATAATTATTGATTGTTAGCCATGTCAGTTACTTCTTGGCTCCATATTACCACTGCAGATTAATAATATTGCCAGGTGCAAAGACAATAAGGAATCTATCAGCATCCTGCTGCTTTAACCCTTTGCACACTGTGTGAGGAGAGTTATTACTAAGTCAGGAGTAGCTGAAATGGTTGGAGTCTATCAGTATCTTGATGCTTTAACTGTATGCACACTGTGTGCTGAGAAGTAAAGGAATAGTTGACGTATTTCATGAAAGCAGCACTATTAAATAAAAAGTTAAAGTTATCGTTGCAGGAACATTACTGATGAGATCATGTCAGGTATAGCTAAGAGAGGAAGAGAGAGTCCAAGAATTTAACAGAGATATGTACTTGGTACCGTATGGTGATCTTCATATTCTAGGATTCTGGCTATGTGGGGTAGTTATTAGTATCTCCTTATTGTGCCCAGCTCTGTGTGTTATTTCTCTGTATATTACTCAGCTATATCTGTTGTATGGTTATCTCTGTAGTTAATCCAGCTCTGTGTATTGTATAGTTATCATTATCACGTGTATTATTTCTCTATCTATATTTTATCAGCTCTGTTTGTGATATGGTCATCTCTGTATTGTACTCAGCTCTATGTTATATATATATATACATATCTCCAGAAGCAAAGTCAGCACTCGAGGACTTGTAAAGTAAGGTGAATTTTAATCCAAAGATTAAAACCAGTTTACAATCCGGTCAACGTTTCAGTTCTTACATCATAACTTCCTTCAGGGTATAATAGCATAACCATTCTAACACTGACTATATATAAGAAAAACTAACCTACCTTACTCTCATCACCTGTGTGCGAGCGACCCCAATTCCTCCATGCACATGCGTAGCACCAAGTCCTACCCCCTTATGATGTAACGAGGTCCGTGAACCCGTCCCCAAGGAAACATACAAATAAGAATCTATTAAAACAAGGTTACCACGGTAATCTATAAACAAAGGGCCATCAGAGCTGTTCCGTGCTACAAATTTATGAAAAGAGCATACAGTGGACCATGGTGAGCAAGAAAGATAAAATACACATTAAGATACAACGATGAAACCATAGTCATAGATTGAACTATCAGAAAGGTGCTAATAAGCACTATATTTATATTGATATAAAGTACACGTGCGTTAGGTTATAAGACATATAGCCATATTCTTAAAGTGCCCAATGTAATCTTAAAAGTGACTCTGTGACATGCATGAAAGTGAATACGTGCAATCAAAGAGTATTATAATTATAATATTACTGTAAAAATAAAGATTACTAAATGCTCAATATCTATCAATTAAATGTTTGTTCAAGGAGACTTAGATTTATGTTTACTATACTTTTGACTTGGTTCAAGAGGGAAATGACGAGTACCTAATCAAAAATAATTACACTGTGTTCACATATTGTAACGAAAACACAATTTATCTAATAATAGAAAAAATGAAATCTAACATTGTTAAAAGCATGATCTGATATATACACATTATCTGGTGCAATCCTGTTCCTAGGAAAGATATATAGATATACATTGTAACAGCTATGTGATACAAAAGTGAATACAAATACAAAAAAACAAGTCCTGCGCTGTAACTTTTTGGGGGGTTTACTGTATGTATTGGGGCTAATGTGTGTACTATGGTCATTGCTGCCACCCAAGAGTAGTGGGAGTTTGAGCACAGGGCTTGTTTTTGTGTATTTGTATATACTTTTGTATCACACAGCTATGTTACAATGCTGCCGCCCATCCAATGTGTTCCCTATTAAGGGTTAATAAGTATGTAGGGTTTTAGAAAAATACCCCTGTCTGTCTCTTTAGCGATATCTCTGCCTGAAGCTCAAGGAAGAAAGGTGAATGGTTAGTGTAGGACCCACCTGAGAGGTTTGCCTTGACGTGGCAGGTGGGCATACCCTCTAATGGAAATTGGAGCAACTAAATAACCTCCATTTGTTTAAATATGCATAGGGATTTGGGAAGAGCACATGTAAGGTTTTTGTTTTTTTTCTTTAGCCCAGCAGTTCCCAAACAGCGCCCAGCACACAGGGGAGCCGCAAGTTATTTTTTTCCGGTGCTATGATGATAGCACCGGGAACTGTGCTCTCCCCTGCTGGCTCTGCAGGACCGGAGGGGAGATCAGAGATCTCCCTCTCTGGCCCGCTAGCACTTTGCTGACAGCCGGCAGGGGAGGGAGTGAGAGAGGACCTGGGGGAGCTCTAACCTGCAGCTCTACCGGGTTTTCCTCTCACGAGCTTGGAGAGTTGCCGCAGTTATCACGGCAACACTCCGAATATCGCAAGAGTGAACTCTAGTAGCTCCTGAGGCTGCTAGAGTTTACTCTCTCCACTGGGACCACCAGGGCTTCCCCACCGGACCCCTAGGGATTACAGGAAATGCCCCTCCTCCCAGGCAAAGGTAAGCAGGGAGGGGGAGTGGGGGAATGTCATTTTTATTTTGAATTTTAAAAAAAAAGTATATATTCATTTGCCCTCCACCCCCACAGACCCCACACCACACAATAACTCACACATTATCCCCCATACACACACACTACCTCCATACACACAATTGCCCCCCCACACACTGCCCCCATATACATAATTACCCCCCATACACACACCCCATATACATAATTACCCCCCATACACACAATTACCCACCATACACACACTGTACCCCTCACACACACACACACACACACTGTACCCCTCATGCACAAACTACCCCACATACACACACAAACTACATCCTTCACAAGCACAATGCACCCCTCATATACACACGCACACTGCAACCCTCACACACATATTCCAATATTGCCCCCCTGTGTACACATATTGCACCCCTCACACACACACACTGCACCCTTCACACATACACACACACACTACAGCCTCTATCCTGGCAGACCCCAGGTAATTTGTCAAACTGTTCTTAAATGGCACCACTGGCACCATAACCACTACAACATAATGTTTCTTTAGATAATCTTCCAGTGCCCCTCCCAAGATTAGGGGCCCAGTATATGCCGCAGCGTTGTACATATGTACAACCTAGAAAATAATTTTGACTTAGGGTGCCTTGGAAAAATATTGAAATATTAAAGGTGCCTTGAACCTAAAAAGTTTGGGAACCACTGCTTTAGCCCCTGTACATAGCCCACATTCATAGGTATCATGCACAATGCCACAAACTACTCATGAATGTATTCTATACAATGTAAAAGCCCACATAGGCACAAATACAACGCTACAAAGCAACTGCAGCACCCACAAATAACACAAGCAGAATACAGCAACATGCACACATAATTTAAAAAAATAGTGCCGGCATGCCAATGGACTTCAAAATCTCCATTTGGCACAATACTACTAAAAGGTTGCCTACCCCTGCTCTAGTAACTCAATAGGAAAACGGAGCTCTTAGATTATAGCCAATACTGATATACTTGACACAGGTAAAAAGCACCACTGCCTTTTTGAGCTTAGAGCAAAATGGGTGTAAAATAGAAAATATATAATTAACCCTGGGGCGTCCAGGAGTGTTTGAGAACATTCTCAAGCAGCGGTTTTCCTGCTGAAAGAACAAGGTGGACTCATTGACGACTAATGATTTTAATTAGTGACGCATTAAGTCAGCGCTCTGCTTTGTTCCATTGTAACTGGGGTTTGGCTTGGCTCCCATTTTCCATGAATATGGATGAACAGCCCTTTCAAGAATTACTTCACAGCTGTGTATTTATAGCAAGTCCTGTAACAAGAGCTGTTGGAAGTTTTATCACACTTATATATTAATTTAAAAAAAAAAAATTGTGTAATGCTGCTGTATTCTCTACAGTTGACTATATTTTATGTATTTATTTTATCATGAGATAATATAATTAGAACATGTTTTACTTATTGTATTTTTTTCCATTTAAATTATGTGAATTTAGGTCCTACTGGGTTACATTCTTAACTTTTTTTCCCATTAAGTTGACTAATAATAACAACATATAGAATGCACAAGACAACTGATGAAAGCTAAATGTTTTAAATAAAAAATATTTTTCCCTAGTACATTTTTCAGTATATATATATATTAGATTTAATGTTTGGTTTGTTTGTTTTTTTAAATAAGGTCTAAGATGAGGAGCATACAAACACAGACACATGTGCACACAATCATTTTAATACACAAACTTACATTTTGTCAGGGCAGCATTCCCAGAGATTTGGCATTGCCACCATGACAACTTCATCAAAATTAAGTTGTTATGGGGGCCTGAGGTTCTTAAACAGTTCACCGTTCACAGTCCCAAAGGTTGCACTTCAGCCCCAGGTTGGGTGATGTCACTTTCTATATTAGAATGTTTGCAGTGCAACTGACACCATGAAGTGTTAAGGTCCCAAGTCCTAGGGTCCAGGACATACATAGAGCATGTAACAGCTTCTGCCCTGTTTTGTAATTCTCACCAATTTCGGGTGGGCATGTTTGTTCATGTGTGGCATTAAAATTGACCCAATTTTAAAAAAAACCCACAAACATGTCATAAAGAAGATATAACCCTGAATCATGTATTGGAGGAACATTATTTTGAGTGATTAACAGCACATATAGACAGTTTATTCATTTAGGATGGCATAGGTATCCAGTTTAATTCTCTGGTCTTCTTTTTGGTTGTTTTTTTTTTTGTTTAAGTTGGTCCTTGACCAGTTATTTTAGATTGTTGAAACTCTGGTCAAAGTAAAGTATTTCCTTTATTTCCCCTCTTTAGATTTGGGACATGAGCGATGATGAAGTCATCTGAAAATGAATAAATGAAAACAGAAAAAGTTACCAAGATCCTCTGCCGCATCCTTTATAACAGGAAACACCAACCAGTCCAGATCCTCGTTAACCTTCCAAAACCAAATATATATTTTTTTATTACTACAAAATAATTGTTGCAATAACTTGTGTGTGTGCATGGTTTCATTTTCCAGATGATATACTGCTTTCTCAGTAATTCCATGGGGACTTATGACCATCATCTCAAGCTCATCATTACAAACCTTATGGATGTATGAACTGTCCTTGTCATTTAGAGTTAGCTCGGCTCTAGAATAAGAAAGACATTTCATGCTGGCATGAGGTCTGTAAGAACCTAATTGTAATAATAGCATTCAGTGATTTTGGTGCTTGAGGGCATTCAAATCGTAAATGATATCTTTATGAGAATATGATTATTCTGCATAAACTGATTTCCTTATATGGAAATGAATACTATAATTATATATGAAATGAAAAGAAATCTTGTTATATGTTTAGATTTGGACATTAAACACATGTTTACCTGGGCTGGGACCACACTAGCCTATAATTGAATATTAATGTTTAAATAAATATCTGTCTATCTAATATAATATAATCTATCATATCTATCTATCTTAGACATTTATTTATCTTGACCCAGAGAGATAAGCAGTGTTGCATCTCAGATATATATTGATGCTATAATCAAAATGATATGGCCTGAGATTGAAAAATGTTGATTGACAAGTGGCACACGATAGTCTTTATAAAGCATTGTAGTATGTAAGAATTGTTATTACAGAGACACATATCCCTGCAATACGTTTTATTTATATAAATATCCTTTTTCATTACTTAAATGACCTATGCATATTCCAGACACCAAAGGTATAAGAAGTCTGTCTTACTTTGTTTGTATAGTACATAGATGCTTGGTGTTTGCAAAAAGCTCTTGCACATGGACTCTCAGGAAGTAATGAGACACCTAGTAGGATATATATACAGGGAACTATGGAAAATTGACAGGTGAGTTGCAAATATAGCTCAGCTGGAAAAATAGCTCAAATTTAAGAAGTTTCATCTCATGTCAATTTGCAAATTAGTCAGAATTAAAGTAGCAATGATATCGCATTTACAAATAAATGAATAACTGGTCGTGCTGGCTTTCACTCCCTTATATTTATTTATATTTAGGAATAAGAAATCACACATATCTTTATTGCTCATAAAGTCTTCTGCAAGTGTCCATAAAGCCCCTGGAACATTATCTATTCCATAGGAAGCCTGTGGAGGGTTAGGAGCTGAGATTTCTAAGCCATTTTCTGGTTCACGAGGACTCCAGTCAAGAAGTATCAGAAAGAGGGTGTTTGCTGCTAAAGAGTAAATTTCGTTGTCCAAATAATCTATTATCTTTAGTTACACATTGGGCTAGGCCTTTGCATTTATAACAGTTGCAGCCATGAGATATACAGTACAGTGAAGGTTTACCTCTCTTACGTTGAGTGCTCCCAGCTAGCATTATTAACAGGCCCTTCCATATATATATATATATATATATATATATTTATTTTTTTTAAATTCGATGAATCCTATTTAAGCATATGGATGCCAGCATATGGATGCCAAGCTCCCCCCCACCCATTTTAACACTGTTTACATTGCAGTGTTTAAATGCCTCTTGTGGCTGTCATTCAGAAATAAAAGGAGCAAAACTGTAATTTCAATCAGATGGTCTCATAGACCCCATCAGATTGGCGCAGTTTGGCTTTTTGCTGTGGTTTCAGCCAAGGGGGCAGGATGACAGCATTGAGACCAGTGCTTTGGGGGAGAAAAGAGAAGTAACCCTGCTTTTTTTCCCCTCCATACAGTTGGGGGACGGGGTCCTAAATAGCCAACAGGGCACTATAGTATTAAGAATACACATTTGTAATTCTAACGCTGTAGTGTTACTTTAAATGTACTTTATCGTGTCAATGTCACTTTGTAAGGAAATACTAAATATATCTTTGTGAATGGCCCCCTCTTTAACCATAGAAAACAATTTAGCTGTATGTATATGTGTTCCATACATAGCAGGGTTATATAACCCCCACGCCCCCCATGCCTGACGACCAACATGACACACACTCATAGTTATATTTGGTGCACTACCCAGCTACAGTTGTAAATCTTTTAGGGCTTCTGTTTGTTTAATTCATTTCCTTTCTTTTCTCAATCTTTTGATTTAAGTTTCATGGTCACATAGTCCTTAATAAATTGGGGCATAGTATGGTATATTAATCTGGAATTAAGGAAGATCCACAAAAGTCCTTTGCAAAGTACAATATTTTTTAAATAAGATTAACTGTCTCTTTGAACCATGCCAACTGCACATAAAACTATTATTTTTGTTAGATTATTTGAACATCAACTGGAAATGCAGCCAGGTATTTTAATCACAATATTTGGCTTAATTAGTTGTATTCACCTTTCCATACATGAAAAATACAATTTAATGTAAAATAAAACCATCCTAAATTTGACAAAGATGTAACGCTTAACAGTTGTCTAACCCATGTTTGTATTTTGTTGTCATTGTATGCAATAAAATATTTAAGTTTAACATTCGTTTTAAGCAGGATGTTCTTTATTTATAATTTGAGAATCCTTTTTCAAAGGTACACTTCAAACACCATAACCAACACAGGTATCTCAGGAACAAATCCAAGGTTACGAAGGACTTTCGAGATGTAAAAATATTAATAATTTAACTATTTTAAAGCCCCCGTGCAACACTAGATCATCAGAATTAGGGCCATTTACAGAACTTTCCATAACCTTGGATGGGGGTTATACTAGCTGTATCTTAGCCGTAAGCAAATATATCCAAAAAGTATCTGACACATCAACTTAAAAAAGAAAAGAACCAACTAGTGGAAAAGATAATAAAGAAACAGTCTCTGAGTCAACAGGCATTCCAAGTGCAGGATTAGTCCTGAAACAACCAAACAGCTAACATGGGCATATTAGGTGGTTTCCTCTTCATCCAGGAATGGTATCTCCTCCAAAAACAAATTAAATGTTAGCTATGTCCCAGTTATGTGTAAATCCCTACCTTACAGCTGTTGCCACAATGGAAAATAATCCAAGGACCTGCAGGGAGGAACCAGTATCTGGAAGCAGATATAAGGGTTTGCACATGAGCATCCCTCTCCACTACATGAGAACAAGGGGATCTCTAGTGATAACAACTGCAGAATCCTAAAGTTGTTGGATAACTTGACTCAAAGAGTGCCTTAGTTGACAAGCAGATCAGAAAAGATCAGAAAAACATGTGAGTTGGTAGGATTCATATGTAAGGGTTGGTTTACCACACACTGCATTCATAAATATAGCCTTGTCTACAACAGATGTACAGGGCCCGGACTGGCCCACCGGGATACCGGGAAATTTCCTGGTGGGCCGCGGTACCAGGGGGCTGTGCAGTGCACTAAATCAGTTTTATGAACATCGCGGCCGCACACACTGAGAGGCCGGCCGAGTTCGATATTTACCTTGCGGCCAGCCATGTAGTGTATGGTGGCCGCCTAGCCGGTCCAGCGGCAAGCTTACTTATACGGACAGCAATGCAGCTGTCAGTATTGGAGGACTGAAGGAGGGGGCAGACCTGACAGTCATGCTTCCTCGCGGTTCCCACAATTCCCAGCATGGACACATTATAGAGTAGTGATTACTCTATGATGTGTCCATGCTGGGAATTGTGGGAACCACGAGAGAGCATGATAGAAACCAAGCTGCAACCTTTAAACCGGCCGCACAGGGTGGAAAACACCCCTCGAAGCCTGGATTCTGTCAATGCTGCAAAGAAGTGAGGGGAACTTTTCTGTGTGCCTGTGCCTGTAGCTGTTATAGGAGATTTGGGGTTGACTGAATGACTTTCACTGCTACTACTCCAAAGAAAAAACCCACACTCAATATAAAAACGTTACTGGTTTGTACAAAACGTTATTTCAGCTACTGTTTCAGCTACAGTGGGGTTAATTCACTAAACTGGGAATCATACAAAATGTTGCGTTATTCTGATTTTTGTCAGTGTTCCAGCCAATCGCCATGTGATACAAGGAGAGAGCACTGATAGGTTGAGTTGATACCATAGAAGCAGCATAACATTTAGAAGTGGCTTTTTTTTTTATTATTGTTTTTTTTTCCATGTTAATTTCTTAAAAATGTATTTAAAGCTATTAAGGGAAAATTGAATTGTCAGAATTTCTTTTTCTCATTTTAAACATGCTAGAGCAACAAGTGTATGTTTTAACTAGTTACTAGAAGGGGAAAAATAGAGGGAGAAAAATATTCAGAGGGGGAGGGAGACAGAGGGAGAAGAGAGACGGAGGGGGAGACAGGGACAGAGGGAGAAGAGAGATGGAGGGGGAGACCGAGACAGAGGGAGAAGATAGAGATGCTGGGGGAGAAAGAGAGACAGAGAGGGGCTGGGGGGAGACAAAGAGACAGAAGGTTTGGGGGGACAAAGAGACTCAAAAGTTTTGTTGGGGCAAAGTGACATACAGAAGGTTTGTAGTGGCAAAGCTGTGCTGGGGGAGAAAGAGGCACACAGAGAGACTGGGGGAGACAAAAAGACACACGGAAGGTTTGTTAGGGGGGACACACAAAAGGGGCTGGGGCGAAAGAGACATACACAGGGCTGGAGAAGGGTAAAAAGAGACACACGAGCTGGGATGAAGTAAAAGGTACACAAGGGGAGTTGAAAGAGACACACAAAGGGGGCTGGAAGAGACACAAAGGAGAACAATTGGAGACAAGATACACTAAATGAGGTTAAAAAAAAAATCAAAAGAGGGAATAAGAATCACAGAGAATGGTGAGAAATTCAAAAGGGAGTTAAGAGAAATGCAAGAGAAGATGCATTGTTTTGTGTGTGCATTTTCGCCTGTGTCTCCTGCTCTCCCTGTAACTTGGTTCTTCAGCATTGGAGTTTATGCCGAAAATCTAATTGACAGGTGAGAGAAAAACCTCTTATTAAATAGATTTTCCTTCCAATTTATACATTTTGCTAGCAATCTTGAACCATGCCAACTGCACATAAAACTATTATTTTTGTTAGATTATTTGAACATCAACTGGAAATGCAGCCAGGTATTTTAATCACAATATTTGGCTTAATTAGTTGTATTCACCTTTCCATACATGAAAAATACAATTTAATGTAAAATAAAACCATCCTAAATTTGACAAAGATGTAACGCTTAACAGTTGTCTAACCCATGTTTGTATTTTGTTGTCATTGTATGCAATAAAATATTTAAGTTTAACATTCGTTTTAAGCAGGATGTTCTTTATTTATAATTTGAGAATCCTTTTTCAAAGGTACACTTCAAACACCATAACCAACACAGGTATCTCAGGAACAAATCCAAGGTTACGAAGGACTTTCGAGATGTAAAAATATTAATAATTTAACTATTTTAAAGCCCCCGTGCAACACTAGATCATCAGAATTAGGGCCATTTACAGAACTTTCCATAACCTTGGATGGGGGTTATACTAGCTGTATCTTAGCCGTAAGCAAATATATCCAAAAAGTATCTGACACATCAACTTAAAAAAGAAAAGAACCAACTAGTGGAAAAGATAATAAAGAAACAGTCTCTGAGTCAACAGGCATTCCAAGTGCAGGATTAGTCCTGAAACAACCAAACAGCTAACATGGGCATATTAGGTGGTTTCCTCTTCATCCAGGAATGGTATCTCCTCCAAAAACAAATTAAATGTTAGCTATGTCCCAGTTATGTGTAAATCCCTACCTTACAGCTGTTGCCACAATGGAAAATAATCCAAGGACCTGCAGGGATGAACCAGTATCTGGAAGCAGATATAAGGGTTTGCACATGAGCATCCCTCTCCACTACATGAGAACAAGGGGATCTCTAGTGATAACAACTGCAGAATCCTAAAGTTGTTGGATAACTTGACTCAAAGAGTGCCTTAGTTGACAAGCAGATCAGAAAAGATCAGAAAAACATGTGAGTTGGTAGGATTCATATGTAAGGGTTGGTTTACCACACACTGCATTCATAAATATAGCCTTGTCTACAACAGATGTACAGGGCCCGGACTGGCCCACCGGGATACCGGGAAATTTCCTGGTGGGCCGCGGTACCAGGGGGCTGTGCAGTGCACTAAATCAGTTTTATGAACATCGCGGCCGCACACACTGAGAGGCCGGCCGAGTTCGATATTTACCTTGCGGCCAGCCATGTAGTGTATGGTGGCCGCCTAGCCGGTCCAGCGGCAAGCTTACTTATACGGACAGCAATGCAGCTGTCAGTATTGGAGGACTGAAGGAGGGGGCAGACCTGACAGTCATGCTTCCTCGCGGTTCCCACAATTCCCAGCATGGACACATTATAGAGTAGTGATTACTCTATGATGTGTCCATGCTGGGAATTGTGGGAACCACGAGAGAGCATGATAGAAACCAAGCTGCAACCTTTAAACCGGCCGCACAGGGTGGAAAACACCCCTCGAAGCCTGGATTCTGTCAATGCTGCAAAGAAGTGAGGGGAACTTTTCTGTGTGCCTGTGCCTGTAGCTGTTATAGGAGATTTGGGGTTGACTGAATGACTTTCACTGCTACTACTCCAAAGAAAAAACCCACACTCAATATAAAAACGTTACTGGTTTGTACAAAACGTTATTTCAGCTACTGTTTCAGCTACAGTGGGGTTAATTCACTAAACTGGGAATCATACAAAATGTTGCGTTATTCTGATTTTTGTCAGTGTTCCAGCCAATCGCCATGTGATACAAGGAGAGAGCACTGATAGGTTGAGTTGATACCATAGAAGCAGCATAACATTTAGAAGTGGCTTTTTTTTTTATTATTGTTTTTTTTTCCATGTTAATTTCTTAAAAATGTATTTAAAGCTATTAAGGGAAAATTGAATTGTCAGAATTTCTTTTTCTCATTTTAAACATGCTAGAGCAACAAGTGTATGTTTTAACTAGTTACTAGAAGGGGAAAAATAGAGGGAGAAAAATATTCAGAGGGGGAGGGAGACAGAGGGAGAAGAGAGACGGAGGGGGAGACAGGGACAGAGGGAGAAGAGAGATGGAGGGGGAGACCGAGACAGAGGGAGAAGATAGAGATGCTGGGGGAGAAAGAGAGACAGAGAGGGGCTGGGGGGAGACAAAGAGACAGAAGGTTTGGGGGGACAAAGAGACTCAAAAGTTTTGTTGGGGCAAAGTGACATACAGAAGGTTTGTAGTGGCAAAGCTGTGCTGGGGGAGAAAGAGGCACACAGAGAGACTGGGGGAGACAAAAAGACACACGGAAGGTTTGTTAGGGGGGACACACAAAAGGGGCTGGGGCGAAAGAGACATACACAGGGCTGGAGAAGGGTAAAAAGAGACACACGAGCTGGGATGAAGTAAAAGGTACACAAGGGGAGTTGAAAGAGACACACAAAGGGGGCTGGAAGAGACACAAAGGAGAACAATTGGAGACAAGATACACTAAATGAGGTTAAAAAAAAAATCAAAAGAGGGAATAAGAATCACAGAGAATGGTGAGAAATTCAAAAGGGAGTTAAGAGAAATGCAAGAGAAGATGCATTGTTTTGTGTGTGCATTTTCGCCTGTGTCTCCTGCTCTCCCTGTAACTTGGTTCTTCAGCATTGGAGTTTATGCCGAAAATCTAATTGACAGGTGAGAGAAAAACCTCTTATTAAATAGATTTTCCTTCCAATTTATACATTTTGCTAGCAATCTTGCTACCACAATGTACAGATAGACGTAATTTATGTGATTCGGCCAGTAATACACACATTACACACACACACATGTATATTAATGTGTGTATTAGTAATATATATATAATGATGCCTATAATATTTAGACATATATTAATATAAATTTATGTATACATAATACCCACAGAAATGTCATTAATGTATAACATATATGTAATGAGCAGATATTGGCCCAGTCTTGTTGATAGGTGCATACTCCAGCACATTAACATGTTCAAAGTGATAAGCACACTCATAGGACTTCAAAATAAACAGGATAACTTTATTTCGTTACAGCTGTGCAATCGCACACATTCACCATTTCAGTCCCATTACCAAACTTTCCCTAATATGTCAAGGCAGTTGGACTGAAACTTTGATTATATGCAAATGAACATCTCCTTAAAATAAAGTCACTCTGTTTATTGTGAAGCGCTATGAGTGCTTTCTTTCTATGGAGTAATCGTTTTCAATTTTCAGTTGTCTTTTCCACCTCTATGTCAGCACACTATGCTGGCGCGACGTATTATTGGGCTGGTATATAATTTTTTCCATGGCTGTTTTTAGTTCCCAGTCCAGCCCTGCAGATGTAGGATAAGGGTCCCAGTGGCAGACTTTGGAGCTCTCCAGGATTAAGTAGGGGGAAAAAAAAGAGTCCAGCACAGTCCTAATCTCAATAAAGTAATCCATCATTAATGGTGTCAAATAAATTGTTCATGTTTCACCCACGCATAGCTCTTATGAAATCTAACATATCACTGCTCAAATTGCAATTAAATAGGGGCTCATTTAGACAGTGCGGATAGAGTCCTGCGCTCAACTATAATGACTGACATCTAGAATCAGTGTAGACAAATCATGTGTTAAGTCACATGGCAAGAGTCACATGATAAAGTGCAATCACAACAAAGAGTGAACGTGCCATTTGCAAATTACATGCTATATATAAGAAGAGCAAGAAAGTTAAAGAGAAAATTAAAGAGTGCTAGCTGCAGAACAGAGCGGTCACACTTTCTCGAGCTTATGATCTTATGCCAGGACCCGACAGCAAGCTGCCACACTACTGCCTAAGGGTGCAATGGGTTAAAAATAATCCGGTTCCAAAGATCTCGATTCGAGCAGCAGCCCGTAGACACACTCCTCTGCTATTCGAAGAGTCTGCCCTATCACTGTTCCCGGACCTCACCAGAGGCACTATCGCATGGGGCAAGACCCCGCAGCCACTACTGATGATCCTACCAGCTATGGACATCTCCTACCGCTGGGGGTTCCCGAGGGCCTTGTCCTTTACCCACCAGGGCTCGACATACAAGGCTTTGCGTTTACAGGAGCTGTAACACCACCTACAATGCCTGGGCCTGCACGGAACAGTGAGGACAGCCACAACAGGTCTGGCGGGTCTGAACCCCTCCACTATACCGGAGTTCACCCCCTGAAGAAACCTGAACAACACCGGCCCAGTAGTTGGACTTTCAAAACCATGACGGGTCCATCGACTGACTCTACCACATAATGCATTTAGGTTTAAGGTGCCACAAACTGTTATTTATTTTCTTTTTAATAGTTTAAGTATGTTCTTCCACCGCATATATTTGGTTACGTTTCCTCAAGGCCCACTAATAAGGCCTATAGTGTGCCCTTAGTTACTGGGGGGCCACACCAGAGGCCACCCCTTCCTCCCCCCCCCCAAAGTCATGATGGAAAGATATCACACCTTCTCTACAAACTCAGGGCGGGCCCTAGTCACTTAGGGGCTCTGACACACATGTCCACCTATCCAGACCCATACGGTCTTACCTTATGGGGAAAAATACTGGTACCCCCTAACAAGCTACTAACATGTAATTTTCATGTCTTTTCAAACTAATTAGCACATCCCTGCGCCCCTGGTGATCTCTCTACCAGACACCACCGTAGCCCATAACTATGGCCACACTAGCCTGATTCAACTAACGCAATAAAAGTGCTGGAAATTGACTGCCATATACTTGTTCATTTTGTTTGCATTGCGCCTATATCTGCTGTTGTGGCAATACGGGCCTTCTTGTTATATGCTGCACGATAAAAATAAAGAATATAAAAAAATAATTTAAAAAAAGAGTGCAACACAGTAGATTACTACATGAAAAGTGCTTCCATACGCTACATTCAATTATGTTGAATAGACTTGCTTCATAGCATTTCTACATAAAAAGTTCTTGCAAATGCTACGTTAAATCCTGTTAAGTATATTTGCTCCATCTAAATATAAACGGAGAAATAGAAGTTATACAAAAAGAAAAATACATAGTGCGTCACAGTATACCACTACATAAAAAGTTTTTAAACGACACATTCAAATATGTTGAATTAATTTGCTTCGTGAAAAGTGCTTGAAAAGTGCTAGTTCCAAAATGCTACAGCAAAACATGATGAATTCATTATGATGCTTTGCACTTTGTATTTATATTTTTCTTTTTAATTTACCAGCAGGATTAAGACCATCCATGGAGAGGCCACTGGCTTGCTAGTTAGGTAGCAGTGAAG